GAGAAAGAAGACAAAAAAGTAATGGTAAAGTTGTTATTTCTTTAAAAATTGAAGGCAATTAAAATGAAAAAATAAATTAAAAATTAGATAAAAAAATTTCATCAATTAGATTTGAAATCAATGGTAAGCAAGGGGTGCCATTTTTGAGGGGCAAATGACAACTCCCAAATATAAGTATAGGGGAGATAATTATTCTTAAAATTTGGTAACCATATTTCATTTTTAAGTGTATATTGACTTTAATTTGTGATAACAATTCATTATATATTAATTAATTTTCATATAAAATTTTGTTACCAATTAAGCTTTATTAGTTTTTTTTACCAATTAATTAATATTCATATTAGTTTAAACGGGAAAGTTGAAGATGATGATTTTACTTTTATTAACCGTATAGATTATTATTATTATTATTATTATTATTATTATTATTATTATTATTAATTTTAATCTAGAATTGTATTAGGAATAAGAAAAATATTGTGCGAACCTTAATAGTATAGGAGTCTTTTAAGTGGGAAGTTAAATTGAGGATTTTGTTTTTATATATAGTATAAAAGTATAGATTAGAATAGAAATTTTAATTTAGAATTATAGTACGAATATGAAAATATAAAATAGTATATTTTTATTAAAAAAATTATGAATTAGGCGGAAAGTTAAAGTTTTGGAAGGATTTTATTTTTATATATTAATATAGATAGATGTGATCTCACATTAGAATACTGTTAAACTTTAATGTTTCCAGGTATTACTTAGGGAATATGGTTAAATTTCTGTAATAATAGGCTGTCTGTTAAACTTTAATGTTTCCACGCATTACTTAGGAAATATGCTTAAATTTTCCATATTTAATAATTATACCAATTATAAACGGATGATCCGCTCTCTTGCAAAGACGGCAACTAATACCAACATTCCGTATTTAATAATTATACCAATTATTTAAATACGATAAGGGTTAGGATTTCGAGGTACGATAGCCCTATATATATATATATATATATATATATATATATATATATATATATATATATATATATATATATATATATATATATATATATATATATTCATATGCATCCATAGCGGGCAGCAGCCAGCAGCCAGAAACATCGGCAAAAGGAGCGATGAGTTCTTCAAAGTTGAGTGCATCGGCTTCCTCTTTTCTTCCACGAGAGGATTTACCTTTTCTTCCACAAGAGATTCTCGTCCAAATTGTGAGTAAACTCCCTGCCAAATCTCTGATGCAATTCAAGTGTGTTTCTAAATTCTTTTCTTCTCTGATTGTTGATCATCCCTTTGCCGATCTGCACCGCAACTGGTCCTTAACCCTTCCCAGTAGGATGAGCATTCTAGTCCACATGAGACGCAATTCCCATTACACAATAAATTATTCTGAAGAAAACCAAGGAATGCTCCATGCCAATCATCTCCAGTATATCGATCTCTTTCGAAGGGTTTATATAACCTCTTCCGTGAACGGCCTCATTTGTTTCTGCGCACGCTCACACTACCAAGACGCCATTGCTATTCACAACCTTAGTACCCGACACCATATCTCTCTTCCATCAACCTGTCCAAATGTCTCCAGGAGCGGGATCGGGATTACTGCTTTTGGGCTCTTAGGTTTTGATTCAGTCTTGAGAAGATACAAGGTGTTGAAGTTAGTAGACTATACCCATTATGTAAAGTATTGGGTTTTTACACTGGGCGTGGATGAATCATGGAGGGAGATTCATTCTTCTTCTTCCTACCACCCTTACAATTATTTCAATAATTTTTTTTATTCTCGTACTAGTGTTCATATTGATGGCGTTATTTATTTCTTTAATTCCTTGAATAAAGGTGAACTAGTAGCGTTTGATGTTAGGGCTGAGAATTTCCAAGTTATACCTCCTCCTCCCACAACTATTATCCCAGGATTGTGGGTAGAGGACCGGTGCGGTCGATCTAGATTGGTAGAGATAGATGGTCGACTAGCTTTTATTGATCTTTTTATAAGTGACGACCGTGACAACCTGACCCTGTTGCGTTATGGTATGACAATATGGATTCTTGAGGAATCTATGGTATGGAAGAATACATATTCCATTTTTATTCCCATCCCATGGCAAGAAATTGATGACTTGATGACAGGTGTGTTAGAAGTTGCTACCAATCATGTTGGGGAGATTGCAGTGTTAGTGAGACTGAGGGCATCTCCTATTTCTATTTTATTTTATAACTTTAGAAGAGAGAGTTGGAGAAAGTTTGATATATGCGAGTTGCCTTGTCATCCATTTCTTGCCATGGACTTCATCTTAGACCATGTTTCTTAATTTTATTTGATGAATACATTCTCCAAAAAATTAATATATTATTATTATTATTATTATTATTATTATTATTAGCTCAGCCTTGTTGTTCTGGCCAGAATAGTTGTCTTGGATCCTATGGTTTCACATACGCTTGGTTCGAAGGATACTCATTTTGTGGATGGGGTGAATAAAGGTGGGCAAATTATGCTCTGGAAACGTGTTCACCGTGGTGAACACAAAGCCAAACGACGTCGTTTTTAGGTATTAAAAAAACAAAAAAATCGCGGATGTGGAGTTAACGGCGCGCGTTGATCAAATTATGAATTTTCTGTTATGAGATTATGAATTTTCATAATCGCATAACAGAAAATTCATAATCGCATAACAGAAAATTCATAATCTCATAACAGAAAATTCATAATCTAATAACAGAAAATTCATAATCTCATAACTGAAAATTCATAATCTTATAACAGAAAATTCATAATCTCATGGTTCCAAAGTGAATGTGTAGGCATGGTTCCAAAGTGAATGTGCAGGCATGAATTCATAATTTATGAATGTCCGTGATTTCGGATGGGAATGTGTAGGCATGGTTCCAAAGTGAATGTGCAGGCATGAATTCATAATTTATGAATGTCCGAAATCATTGTTCACCTCAAATTAAAGTGAAATCGCAAAATGTGAAAATGAAGAAGAAAAGTCACGCAATTAATTTAAAAAAATAAAAAATAAAAAAATAACGGTGTACTAACACCGTTGGAACCGTGTTCACCATTCATGGTGAACACGGTTCCATGGCATAACGCTCCATAAAGGTGATCCTACCTGTGGAAGATGGCCTTTGTACTGTAAAAGATATTTTTTTTTTTAGCACCAAACAAATCGTGAGGCACTCACTTTCAAAATTTTCATCTCAAATAATCAATGCAATCATCAGCAAATCATATAGGGAACCAATCCATAAGATTGTATATCAAAAACCCAAAATTTCAATCAAAACCTCTCAGCCAATCGGGCAGTGACTGCTCTAAGCTTTGAATACACTTTTCCTGTAGGGGCGCCAAAATCAGACTACAAAGCGAATCCCTTGCAACCTTAATATTCGCAAACGAACCTAGTATATGATGTTAGACTAAATATTATACAATCATAATACTTGTAATGATCTAACCTCATAACGAAAGCGTAAGGATCAAGCAAAAAACTCTCACCATAGTTGATACCTTTATTTATTGCATTGTGAATATCGTAGTAGCAATTTTTGCAGGGTAACTGATAGTTTTAATGGGATCGGATCGGATCCACCATAAATCAAATATACAACACGAAATTACAAAAGGGAATGTATAATTAATACGGGCGTGTGGCCCAACAAAAGACAAAAGTACGTGCAAGCCCAATGCAAGGCCCAGAACGATACAACATCGAAAATATGTGACAAGATAAGATAATTAAGCAGCGGATAAATACAAGCTAAATAAACAATACCCGGAGTGCATGGCCATGCCCAATCTCATATTCCATCAGTAACAATGTCTCCCACTTGAACTCCGAACAATATAAATTGGGGAAAAAGGTCAAATAGGCCCCTGAACATTACTCAATGAGTCAATTAGGCCCTTGAACTTTCAAAATGTGCAATTAAACCCTTAAACATATTATTTTAGAGCAATGAGGCCCAAAAACCGGTTGATGACCTACAATTACAGGTCAAAAAGATTCCGGCGAACCTTCGACAACATTCCGACCAAAAACCGGCGAAACCTTCGCCGGCGTCATTTGGCTGCCATCTCCGGCGAAGGAGAAGGCAGACCAACTGCTTTTTTGGTCAGCCTTCCCCTTCGCCGGAGAAGGCAACCAAGCTGGTTGCCTTCCTTCTCCGGCAACTGGACTGGTTGCCTTCTCTGGCAACTGGAGAAGGCGACCTTCTCCCGTGAAGGAGAAGGGTTGGGTTGCCTTCTCCTTCGCGGGAGAAGGCGACCCAGTCCTTCGCCGGATCTGGTTCGCCTTCTCCTTCGCGAACCAGATCCGGCGAAGGAGAACAGAACCCATCTCCTTCGCCGGATCTGGTTCGCGAAGGAGAAGGCGAACCAGATCCGGCGAAGGACTGGGTCGCCTTCTCCCACGAAGGAGAAGGCAACCCAACCCTTCTCCTTCACGGGACAAGGCGACGGCGTCGCCTTCTCCAGTCGCCAGAGAAGGCAACCAATTGGTTGCCTTCTCCAGTTGCCGGAGAAGGAAGGCTACCAATTGGTTGCCTTCTCGGGCGAAGGAGAAGGCTGATCAAAAAAGCAGTTGGTCTGCCTTCTCCTTCGCCGGAGATGGCAGCCAAATGATGCCGGCGAAGGTTTCGCCGGTTTTTGGTCGGAATGTTGTCGGAGGTTCGCCGAAATCTTTTTGACCTGTAATTGTAGGTCACCAACCGATTTTTGAGCCTCATTGCTCTAAAATAATATGTTTAAGGGCTTAATTGCACATTTTGAAAGTTCAAGGGCTTAATTGACTCCTTGAGTAATGTTTAGGGGCCTATTTGACCCTTTTCTCTATAAATTGTGTATTTCAGGTGTTTCGGAGTAGTGACAGGACCTATACTTATATAGCCTTATATGCCATCAATATAATCTTTATAATTATTTCCGTTACAACATTATGTTACCAATTAATAGACATAAAGTGTCCAATTAAACTTACACCACATTAATGTGACTTAATGAAAAATATTGTTACATATGAATCTTAGTATATCAGCGATCAGGATACATGTCTTGTACTGTAGAAGATACTCTTACATCCAAGAACACATAGATTATTGTTATATGGTCTTATACCTAGCTGACAATGGACACACAAAAGAACAATAACAATATTCTCCCATCACGCCGCAGACTGAAACATTTGAACCATTTTTTCCATTTCTTGATTACCCATGCCTCGAATCTGCTGTTTATAATCCCTCTCTTAGGTGCCCTTTCTGCCCATTATGTCTTCACTCTCACCACCTTGCAGGACGCAATACTCAATACATGGCATCTCCTCAAGCTCAACCTTGCACCACTTCTTGTATGCACATCATTCCTGCCTTCTGGGAAGATTTGCTGGCAGATTCCCCAGAATGCGAGCTATTTTTCAAATGGTAAGGAGTTGGATGGTTGCATGCGAGCTATTTTTCAAATGGTAAGGAGTTGTACTGCCTTCCAGGTTCATCATTACGTGGTAGCAGTATATTCATTTCCAGGCTCATCATACGTATTCGCGGCAGCTTCCATTTTCAACGTAAGGATACGTGTTTGTAGCTAATTTATTTCCAGGTTCAATGCAGCAGCTTCTGGTTTCATCTTCAGCAGACATTAGGCGTACATGCAACATAGAAAGATTGCCACTCCAGGAGGAAGAGCTGCCGCGGGCGAATGAAGCCACGTCGGAAGTGGAAGAACGAGAAGGGGCTGAAGAAGAATTTGGGCATTTAGGAGCATTGTCAGTATGCTCCATTCCAAGGTACTGCTCTCAATCACTACAAAATTCATAAATGTGCATAAACACAAATTTAATTAGAGCCACACATCAAAATAGGGGGAAATTTATTTTAAAGGAAAAAAACTAAGCCAGGCATTACCTCAAAGCATTTTGACAAAATATCAGAGTCCTCTTGGTACTTAAAATATCCCCTACAAACTAATGCAAACTTCCACTGAAAAGTAATTATAATTCAATTTACTGTCGTGCACTCATGTACAGTATATTCTAACTGTTCTCCAATAACTATGCTAACAATAATTTGGTTCACAAAATGGTACTAAATAGAAATGAAGGGGCTGAAGATGTATGAAGCACCACAGGGTCAGGGATTAAAATATATCTACCTATTCTAACCACCAGGCACCAGCAGATAAAAAACACAAAAGATTCGATGTAATTATATCCAACATATTGGATTCTAAGGCAACTAGACAAGACAGTTGGAAGGGCAGATATCCTAGTCTCTTCAAATCATAAAGGCTAAGCTAATAGCTTATAATGCATTTTAAGTTGCATGGTACAAGATTAAGATGCAGGAATATGTAACAACTTCTCAAATGATTCCAGATTTTTTGTCCCTGCAGTTATATAAAAACCAACTATTACACACTGTCACACGTGCAAATTGGTACCAAATGCAAAGCTATTACACACTGACGTACTAACATTGGTATCCATGCCCCGTGTGCTAGTAGTCCAGAAATCTTCTGATGTGCTACATACTGGAGCCATGTTATCCTTTGTTTGGTGACTTGTTAGAGGATAAAATCAATTTTGCCTTATTATCACATCCAAGACAACCACTGCTCTGTGTTACGAATGGGATTAGGTTCTGGAAGAATCAATTTTACTCAAACATTGCATAGATAACAATAGCAATGCCAGCCTTATATAACTTTCACAAAATACAGTACATCTTTTGTGGGAAAATAACTAGTTGAGTGCCTACTTAGGTTTTTGAACAGTCACAAATGACTAAGAACCAGAACAACATACCCAGTGCAAAAAGAAGTGAACTTAGATTATTGATCAAAATAAAATAGAAAACCATTGTGACAAACTAACTCTAGACCACTCTGCCCAACTAGGTTGGATGCATGACTGAGACAATTCAATTTTCTCCTTTTACTCAGATGGCTCATATATGACAGCATGCCATACTAAAACTAACTGGAACTCACCATTTAGCATCAGAGTGCAGATATGGGAAAACTGTGCACACCCTCAGTTATAGCCCTTTCTTAACACAAAAATCTAAACCAGCAGTACACTATTTCTCTTTAAGAAATCAGGGTTACCAGAATGTCCAATAGGTTCATTCATGACTAAGAACCAGAACAACATACCCAGTACAATCAGTTCATAGGATAACAAAATATAAGATCAATCTTGATAATAGGTTTTACTTTTATAATAATAATAATAATAATAATAATAATAATAATAATAATAATAATAATAATAATAATAATAATAATAATAATAATAATAATAATAATAATAATAAAACAGTTATAATGTGTTTCGTTTGAATAAATAATGGAAGTTCTATTTGAAATTGAAAAATCATTTGAATAAATAATGGAGGTAAAATATATAAGTACCCGCTCCCCCAAGCCTTCCGGCGACAACATAGTCCACAGAGAATTCAATCCGGGCACTCACTGTACTTACAAAATTCAAATTGTAGCCTTCGAAGGTCAGATATGGTACAAGAACAAACCAAAAGACACAGTCTGTAAGCGTTACAGCTCCAGCGTTCATCTCTTGACAAGTAAGAAGGGCAACTATTGGCAATATGGTGGAAAGTAGATAAAAAAAAAAAGGAGAGAGGATAGAAACAAAAACAAAAAGCAGCCAAATGGTCCATTGAGGCTTACCTGGAAAATTATTTGAAAAGCATAGCCGCATAAGTGCTGGAATGTTCAGCATATGTAGATGGTCTCCCAGATCCATATCCAGAATCAAACCTGAGTGATGGATGAATTAGGGTTTAACTCTTTCGTTCTTTTCACAGCTACGGGCGGAGGCGGAGGTGTGAGACGGCGAATCGAAGAACACTGGAGGCGTGAGGTTTTCTTTTTTTCCAAAGTGTTAAGGCGTGAGTGTTTTGTTTGGCAGGGAAACTTTTAATCTTTTGTTTTTTATGGACTAGTAACCTACTAGGTGCACCCGTGCGATATAGGGATATATGATTTAGTAGTACAATTAACAGTAATAATAAAATAAAAAAGATGAATAAGGGTCAAATTGGTCACTGAACGAAACCCGAAAATGTAATTGAATCACTGTACTAAAAAAGATTGCAATTACACCTTTTAACAAGCTAAATGTGTTCAATTTTACCAACTAGAAGGTAAGCTCCCTCTCCTTCCGATTACCTGGTGATAAGGACGCTGAGTTGACAATTATTTTATTGTTCTTTCCTCTCTCTTCCTAAGGGCATCCCCAATAAGGGATCTTCACCACATTTTTAGAATAGTAAAATTTCTTGGGATAGACTTTGACAAATGGGGTGGAAAGATTTTGAGGAAATTTTTCTCCTGCAAAACCAAAGATTTTGTCAGGTAAAAAAAAATAAAAAATTACAGCTTTTTCAGAGTGGCCAGTGGGCCACTCTGAAATTTAATTTTGGCAATGGCCAATTTTCCGGCCAAATTCTGTGACGTTGCCATTGCAACGGCACACCTTCTTTCTTTTTCTTTTATTTATTTATTTATTTATTTATTTTTATTTATTTATTATTATTATTACTAGTATTTGTCTCGTGCGATGCACGGAAAATATGTTATAAAAATATACCCTATATGAGGTTTATTCATATATAAAATTTTTGTTATTTAATAATTATTATGTGTGAATTCCTATGATAAAATTATGAACATAAATATATTTACAATTAAAATAATATTTAAGGTGGGTGATTACTACATATTTTAAACTATATTAAAAATTTAGTACATAGTATTTAATATTACAAATTTTTAAGAACTTAGTAAACTACAATAGTAATTGAATTATAATTTTAGAGTCACCACGAATCAAAATTTTTAGACCTTTGAGATTTCTAACTCTAGATGTAGCAACATACAATTGACCTTTAAAGACCAAAATCACAATCTTAGTTCGAACATTGATTTTTTCTTCCAAATACTATCGAATTAAGTGTGTAATCAATAAAAGATGAGAACTAATAATTCGAGAATATAATCTTTATGTTACTAAGCCTACTTCACATCAATTAAGTTGGAGAGTGTTGTTGGATAGTATCCGATGAATCCACGAATAACACATCTTTATCTCCGTAGTCCTTAATATGCACATCAACAATCTTAAATATTAGGCCGCCTAGCTATGCCATATATTAATTTCAAACTTATGAACTTTGGGGTTGCATGCAATAAAAAGTATATTTTAAATATACTAAGGGTACATTATATATGCATGTAAGGTACTTTCAATATAAAAATAATGTATTTTTAATATATTAAAAATGTATTTGATATTCATGATCCATACAATTATGTGGACCATCGTTCACAAAATAATTTGCCAGTAGAAATTGAAATATAAATATAATATATATATATATATATATATATATATATATATATATATATATATATATATATATATATATTGGATATTATTATCATTATTATTATTGCAATTATTATTATTATTGTTATCGTTATTGTTATTATAATTAACAATATTATTATGGTCTTGTGACAATTAAATGTTGATTATCACCATTTAATTTTCACAAAATCATATGACTTTATTATATATAGGATAGGATTATAAATATCACATCTTTCACAAACTTTAACATATTTCAATCTACTCCTAATTTATTTTTATATTTCTCTCAATTTATTTTTGTAGTTTAATTTTTAAGTAATTATTTGTTTTTTTCATTCAATAACTATCGTATTAATTAATTAGGCGTACTATGTTTATTTTAATTAAGTTTGGAAAAGAAATTTTTAAATAATTATTTATTTAATTTTCATATTTAGGTATGTTCATTCATTTATGTTTATTATAAAATTATAAATATATAAATTAAATAAATAAATAAATAATTAAAATATGAAAATAAAATGGTGAGTCAAGATTTTGTGATTGAGTGAGATAGTGGATGATGGGGTGGATGTTGGGGCCCACAAAAATTTGGAGTAAAATCTCCAACTATTAAGGATGTCCTAACAGCTTGTCTTTCCCACAGCCAGTCAACCAAGTTTCAGAACTTCTATTACTCCTCTGATCCAACCAAGCCATCGGGATTTACTATAGGACGACGCCATGATGGTCAGGTTGTGGAATGTATTAGGATCAAAGCATCGGAAACATTTCTCTGCTGAATCTGTTCTATCAGCAGTAGAAGAACACGACGACTGTCGCCGGTTCCCTGAGCGAAGCTGCAGAAACCCACAAACAAAAATGGAATAACTAGAGTGGCTAACCTGATAACAACATTCGATAACAACGACGAAACCTTAATAAAGGTCAAAGGCAAATAGGCAATGGAGCTAGCGTAGTACGCTTAACACGTAACGACCGTTCCAACCACGTCCACAAAGTAGGAAACACCCCTCGCTTATACCTCTCCATTTCTATGCTCAAACTCTTCCACTCCCCGCTCCAGAACAACATCGCCGTCGTCACTGCCGTCGCCAACACAGACTGCCAAAACAAACAAAAAAAAATTAAAAAAAAAAAAAATCATACATTTTGATATTTAAGACGGAACTGAAACTTGTCATCACTTTTGGGCTTTATCTACTTGGAGGGAAACAAGGAACTTCTTGAGACACCTGTTGTAGACGCAAGGTCGCTCCAGGTGAACCAGGTGGTCTGCCTCCCTTAACTTATACCTTCAAATGTTGTCTTGATTATATATATATATATATATATATATATATATATATATATATATATATATATATATATATATATACACACACACACACACTTAGCAATGAAATGTTATATATAGGCCATCTTTTGATTGGTTAGAGTTTGATCTCATTCCTTGTTTTGTTCATGAGTCGATTCAAATGGGAATTATAGTTCAGGAGTTCATTACAGTGTTCTTTGAGTGTCAGATATTTGAAAAAAACTTACTCTTTCATGTCTTTAGCTAGCTTGACCTTGAAAAGCTGATCATTCTCTCCCCACAGAAGATGTATTCTCTGTGAAAACCAAGCATGCATCAACATATGCTGAAAACCAAGCACAAACCGCCGTTGTCACTACCGCCGCGCTCAAACTCTTCAATGCCTCTGTCATGGCCTCATAAAATTCCACATCAGCCCTAATAATGACCTTCTCGAACGCAATTAAGTTCCGTTAACGAGGACAGTACGTAATGCAAAAGAAGTCATGGTGTCGACCGTGAACATAGCCCTTAACATGAAACCAACGTCGACGTTACTAGATGTCGCCGAGGATCTGCCACTATAGTTGTCGAACACCAGAAGGAAAAGGGAAAAGGTGAGAAACACGACGGAGTGGAGTATATAAATACAAGGCGTGAACCTCTATGCATTGATAAAGAGAGCTAAAACGCCGGTGAAGGTCAACTGGGTTGAGATAAAAAGAGAGAAAGTAAAAATTTCAATGGAAAAGACATCTGTTAGGAAGAAAGAGGAAAGAAAAGGAAATTAATTGCCAACTCAGCGTCCATGTCACTAGGTAACCGGAAGGAGATGGAGCTTACATGCTAGTTGGTAAAATTGCACATATTTAGCTTGTTGAATGGTGTAATTGTAATCTTTTTTACTACAGGGTGGCCCAATTGCACTTTCAGGTTTCGTGGTCAATTTGACCCTTATTCCTAAAGAAGGCAAATTATGTTGTGCATCCGTTTGCACCATGCATGGTGCATACGGATGCACACGACGTCGTTTTAGAGTAACACGCGGTCTTATATCTTATATAAAAAAAAAAAAAAAAAATCGTTAACGGCGTTTGTTTCCTTTCGCAATTGTTTCTTTTCCAAGTTCCTTTTCCTTTCGCAATTGTTTCTTTTCCTTTCACAATTCGGTTTTTGGCAGTTACTCATTGTGGAATTGGCATTCAAGATCTGCGCATTCGCAATCGCAATTGGTATCGGAATTGCATTCAATTTTGTGTATTGAGTGTTAGATGGAGGAGGCAATAGAGCAGACAGATTCTGCAGTTGATGCTCTGCTTTCGATTCAAGGTGCTTTGCATTTTTGCGTTTGTTTTTGCATTTGTTCCTTTTGCGTTTTTGTATGGTTTTGCGATTCATTGCGATAAAATTGTTTCTAGCAGTATGTTTGATTGATGTTTGTGTTTAGAATCTGCCATTTTGTTTGATTGTGGTACAATGAATATGAGTTTGTTGTTTTGTAAATATTTATACAAAATTTCATAAGTAAATATCTATAATCGTATAACAATAATTCCAGAATTGCATAACTATAATTCCATAATTTTATATATACACATCCAGAATTGTATAAACACACATCCATAATTTCATAACTATATTTCCATAATTGCATAACTATATATTCAGAATTCGCGAGTACTCTGTTTTGACAGTTTGTTGCGTCTGCTTATCCAGAATAGCATATCTATATATCCATAATAACATACATATATATCCAGGATTTATTTTGCTGTTTGATGAACTGTTTGAAATAATGTTCACAATGTTTATATAATGTAGTTAGTGAAGGCATTATGGATGGTTCAGTGAGTTCAGACCAAGCAGGTGTAGACTTGATGGCTATTCTTCAATTCCAGGTTTACTCATAGTTGTTTATCTTTTAATTAGCAAATTCTGGCTAGGAATTATATTTTAAGGAAAATGTTTATTATTGTGTTATATTTGCAGTTGATCAAGATTTGGTTGGTTCGGTAGTAAGTAATGTTGATGAGGCTTATGAGTTGTATAACAATTATGCATATAGAGTTGGTTTTAGTGTGAGGAAGGGTCATCAATGTTACAAGGGATCTACTAACACAATTCAAATGAAAAACTTTTGTTGTTCTAAGGCTGGTTATAAGGCAAACAGTGGGGTTAAGGCTTATTCAAAA